AGTCGACTGTGATGACTTCGCTTGCTCTCTGATGCTCCGAATGAGAATGGAAACACAAACAATTGCAATAACCATATAAAGCGCAGAAGTCAGTCCTATATATAGAGAGGTGAATAGACCGTTCTCATCTTGGTCCGCTACATCATATCCTCGAGAGGTATACATCACTTCGGGATATTCATACGTTATGATCTGAAAAAACTGTTTCAAAGAGTGAAAAAGACACAAACCGCGAGACAAGCCTGCCGTGCTTCTTCTCCGCCGTCTTTCGTGTGCAAGCCATTGACGAACGAAACAACGACTTGGACAACCATTAACGCGAAGAATATGATTATAATGAGGTTCTTATGCTTCTTCATCCATGTATTGATTGCAAACGTTCGATTGATAGTCAGAAGGAGAGTAAAGGATTTGTTGACTGAAATGGATGAACGTCATTTATAACCTCATCAGGTGAGTACTCGTTATCAGTATCACTTGAATATTCATTTGATCCAAAGGTTTAATTCCAAAATCAGTCATGAAGCCGTTCAAGTATCCAGAACTACATGGGAAGAGGTAAGTCGGTGTTGTCCCCAAAGTAATATAGAGCTGCATTAAGGCAGATCTTCAAAGACAATGAAGAAAGATTGAAATTGAGAACTCACGTCAAATCATGTCCATGAATGACGAAACGGGTGAAGTTGTTCAGCTTGGTTGGAACGAAGATGAGAAGGGAGAACGAGAAGAAGATGATGAAGAATCCAAAAAGGGATAAGCAGTACATGATTATAACATAGAGAGACATCTGAGGTATGTTGAAACCGTCTACGTGCTCAGTAGGGGGCAACGATAGAAAGAGAGAGTTCTCGAAACTGATTTCATCGTTCATATTTTGAACGAATACGTCAATTGAATCGCTGAAAGCAATATGCGAAGTAGCAACAGGTTGCTTTGAGATATTCAGGCACGACAGATGTGTTTAACGTTGCACGATTGATGAAAAACAAGGATAAATCTGTAAAACTTAAAAAAGAATCAGTGATATATGAAAGAAGTCAAAGCTCAATATCACAGAGATGGAAAGACAGAGAGACTGGTACTCTAAACTGTTCTCTTACATCGCATTCCCGACAGTTAGGTTGTGCCTATAATTTTGCGTAAGCCTTGTGGGATGTTACACATCAGACTCGCTTCATGCTTCTATACTTCATGTGTGTTCATGAACTGTTAAAACAGTAACTTTCATGTTAATGCCCTACCCTTCTCTAAATCGGCGGTCTGGAAGAACATCCAATCCCAGAGCGAAGGTTTGTTATTAATATAATTTATCTTAGTCATGTGGGCGTAGCTTTAATGCATTTTTGGAGTATAGTGGAACATCGTGGAAGTGTTTCTAAGTTCTTTCGGTGAATGTTTTTCTCCATTGCACCGTTTTTGAACAGATCTTTACAGAATACAACCCATATGATGCGCTTTGAGCATTCAATTAGCTTTATACACCCGTCTTGGTTTCTTCTTCTGACGTCTAATCAAGTAGTCACAATGTTAGATTGCAACCATTCTGAGTTAGCTGAGGATGGAATGAAAATCTGAAAGTTATATTAACACCTTGGAGAACCCCCAAAGCTATACAGAAGTGGAGCTTTCCGGCTTACATAACCAAACAACTCATTTCAGGTGTTTCATAACTTGTATACCCTGAAAAAATTCTGTGAACTACCTGTCACGTGAGAAGTATTTCATGCGTGAAGCGTGGAATAGAAATGACCCGGTTCCCTTTCGGAATTTCGGACCAGAGTTTCTCAAAAGCTGTCATTTCTAAAAGTAATGAGTCAGGATTTTCCTTTGTACATGATATGATAAGGAGATAAGAGCAGTCCTCGTGTTGCTGAAGAGATGGTCTAGATTGTAACGAGTGTGCTGAAGTTCTATTTCTCTATGTTTTTTTTTAAATTTTTTATCGATTATGATCCGTTCTTCATTACTTCTTAGTATTTTACAGATTGTAAAATGTATCACATGGGAACCATGAGCTTCATGTTTGAATCGAATCAACCTTACCCAGTCCCTAAAAAGCAATCTATAAAGCAGGAACAAAATAATATCGAATGGTGAGCTCGCCTTCCATGATTTCACAATCTGTATTCAGGACTGTGCAATTCGCTTTGGAAAACAGTATTGTCAAGGTTTTGATAAGTAACAAACCAATTGGAAAGATAACCTGCCCATTAGTTCCCTGGACTGTAACTTTCGATGTCGCTATCTTAAATATGTTTAATATACAATACCCGCCTATTTATGTATGTGAAAACTTTCCATCGAACCGTTGTTGTTTTCCAGCAGGAAAAGAATGTTGCGAGGAAAAATAATTCTGTTTTGAACGCAGAATTTGGTTGTGTGAATTTGGAGTACTCTGTTCAACCAAAAGATAAGTCGATGAAAATCCTGATCTACAACATCAAGACGGAAGGAATTCAGTTAGTTTACGTTAGTAGTTCCAATTATCTTTATTGTCACAGTAAATTCGGAATGAAAAACTTCGATAGTAGAGATGAAAAGGACGATTTGGTATTGGATGTCAACGGTGTGAAGCTTCACTGCCACAGTCAGGTACGAGAGTTTATGCTCCTCGTTTGAATTTTTGAATCTCAGATTCTATCTCAAAACTCGGAGATCTTCAAAACTATGATCAAGGAGAAGTGAGAGCCTACTAGTTGACTGTTCCAACCCTTTTCATTGCAGCGAAGGGTCTTCTGAAATCTGTTTGAAGGATTCGATTCCCCTCGAGGATCTTCAAGAGCTTCTTCATTACCTCTACTTACCTTGTGAGCCGGTAGATGGTATGATGTTCCTTTTGGTTCGAATTTAGTCTTTTTGCTTTCAGATCATAACTTCCGACAGTTGCTTCATTGGGGACATAAGTTCGAAGTGAAACTTGTCGTTCAATTGTGCCACCAGTACATGATATCATTGATCCTGACCAGACGTACAACCGATGCAATACGGTTAGAAATCTTCCTTCTGTCTTGGAGATACTCCATGAAACACTTGAAGGTAGGTGCACTCACAAGGCGTTATACTGTATGAACTGGATTGATAGAGGTTTTATGCTGTCAGAACTATTCGCTTTGAATCTCCTGACTGGATGATGAAGATCGTTCAAACTGAGCTCTATCAGGACATGGACAAAGACCTGAAACTGGAGATGTGGAAATGCCTGGTTGAATCATTCAAATACTGAGTAGTCTAGTGATTGCTATGTGCCGATGTTTCGTGACTGTTGTCCACTTTCTGTCAATTTTAATAATAAACTTCGATCTGTAGTAGGAGGGCAGAGTTTGAAGTTGCCTGTCTCGACACATCAAGTCCGATAGTCGAATGTCTTGGAAGGTCTGTTTGAAGGTTTACTTCTTGCTTTGATATACTAAAAGAAGAACAGAACGAAGACAAAACACATCCGTGAGTTCCCTTTCCGACACTCAGAATAGTGTTACATCCTTACTTCCAGCCTCCTGTAGCTGGAAACGACATGTAACCCGATGTAAACTACTTATACTTTGCTTCTCTCTACTTTCAATATGTTTCGACTTCCTAAAAGTATAGTTATCAAGTTTGTTACCCAGGTGAGAACACCTACACCATTAAAAACAAAATCATATTACATGGTTTGTAGTTTGTGATAGCCAAAACCAACTAAAGCATTGGGCCGATACAGTTACCTCGATTTTCTATTTTATATCGCCCTCTTAACTCATCTTCTCTGACAATGTGATCAGGAACAGAACAGGAAATCGTCTGTTGCAGACAGTGTGGAGAACTGAGAGAGGAAGCTCTGAAGTGTTAGAGAAACAAGAAAATCTTCTTGCTGACGCCTAGTCACAAAACGTACACAATTTTTAATAAATCTCCCCTATCGCCCCGAAGCTTGATGTTTATGCTAGCACTTGCTTGTTGTAGGCTGGATGTGGAAGCTACAACAAGCCTCTGTAAGTAAGTTATGGAGCATAGGTCATGACTGTATGTCTAAGCATTCAGCACCTTAACCAAATTTATATTTCAGTTCATTGAAGAGCATTCGCTGCGCGGGAGTTGAGATAAGAGTTGTTCTGAGTCCGTCTTAACGTCATTTCATAATGCCATATTTCGAATAAGATTGAAATCAGAAGAACAATCTGCTGCGGTTTCATGCAGGGTCACACCGACGGCGAATGGGTTGGTTGCTACGACCATCCCGCTCAGATCAGGGGACTTGGAAGTTGATCGTACGTTTTACTGTTATCTATTTC